TGTATCAGAGACAGGCAGTAGATTATAAAGACAGGAAGAGGATCAGGAAGGCTTGGTTGGAGAAGGACATTCTGAGCGGCCCAGAAAACATTCGAAGCAGTCAAGTTTCCATGGGTGCTTTTCTTTTCCTGATTACTCTTCTATTGTCTGGAATTAGCTTAGTTTCTATGCCCTGTGCCCCTAGGATATGTCCAGGTATTTAGAGGCCTCCTATGGGCAGGTGTCAAGGGTCTATGACCAAAGTTGGTTACATGTATTATACCCATACAAAGGAATTTACTTAGAAAGTGTCTACAGAAGAAGCCTTATTATTAGTTGATCCCTTCACATTATGAATGTTCACACTGCAAAATTGTGCCTGAAAGACAAGAACTTCACTCAGAGAGGCACATAGGTATCCATATTTGGGTTGATGTAAGGCATAGGCCCTTCAAAGTCAACAAAAATTTTATAAGCAGGAAATAGATTTCTCCCACCCCCAGCCTCCAACCATGAACCCATCACCATTTCTGTGCTACCTGGGGTTCAGGCATAGATTAAAACCCCTAATGGCTGTAAGTTTGGTCTGTGTTCACTTCATGACCTTGGGAATTTTATTGCCCCCTTTAATGGCCATTCTAATCGCTTTTGTTCACAGTTCGTCATCTTGTTACCTGAAGAGAATCCTAAGAGCTGGCTCATTTCTTCTGTTATCTCTTTGTATAAAGTTAATGGATGTGCAATCTTTTCACTTTTCTTTTTTTTCTGTGTCTGAAAGGTTGTGATAACAAAAATAACAATAGCTACAAGCTTTTGTGAAGTTAATTATTTTAAATGAGCAAAGAAGCCCAAGCACCTGAGAAGAGAATGGCTCAGAAATTGGAAAAAAAGCATGATGCTCTGCTACAACTGGTTGATATTTGGCTCTTTTATTTTTCTCCTGAGTAACATAAGAGCCATTGAGCTCAGAGGACATGAACATCCTGCACAGGAAATAGATGGTGTGTGGAGGAGGTGAGGGGGGGCACCCAGCAGCCATTCTCTGAATCCTTCAGTGAGCTTCCCTTGAATATGTCGGAGAAGCAAGTAGAGGGGCTGGAAAACAGAGGCTCTGCTTGGATGGCTTCCAACACACTTCACAAAGCTCAGGAAAAGCTCAGCTAAGCCACATGCATTTTATGTTTTCCCGAGGAAAGACTCTGCTTGTTGGTCTCAGGGTTAAGGAGTCTCAGCAAGTTTTTATAGATGCACTGAAACATTCTCTTAGTATTTTCCTCTGTCATGGAAAGGAGCCCAGGGAATAAAATCACACTTTGTGTCTGCTAGGCTAGTTGGCTCAGGGAAGAGATGGTGGGGAAGTTAACTATATTGTGGGGCACTCTTAGCTCCCCAGTTTCACTAAGTTTATAAAAAACTGTGTGCGTGTGTGTGTGTGTGTGTGTACATAAAAGTACAAAATCCTGAAATACATCCACTCTTCTGAATTTAGTTTCTAGTTTCAACTAAGATTGTGTGTGTGTGTATGCACACACACGTGTATATATGTGTATATATATACACACACATACACACACATATATATATGAATGAATACTACCTTCATCTTTATCAGGAGGACCAAATACACACCATGTAAACTGTAAAGTATGGAGAGACACAAAGGTGATAGACAAGTGACAAATCTGAAAACTGTCAAGAGCTGAAGCCTGGGTTTTTTCTTTAATTTCCCCCAAAATATATTTTAAAGCAAAAAACTAAAGCATTTACTGTTCCTTTGTGAGAATGATATGGGATGTTCATTGGAGCAAAAAGGCCATTTATGAACTGACTTTGGCCTTGCTTTGGCCTGTCACAGTCACTGTGTTTATTTCAGAACCTGAGATTTACACTGACTGCATATTAACAGAGAAGAAAACCTGGAGTCATTGGCAATTGGAATTTTCCAGTACAATTTTCCATTATCTGCTCAATTTAAATTGTTTCTTTTCTAGAAAAAAAATTTATTTTTAACTTTTTCACTTATGTTCCTCCATAGAAGGCTTACTACTATTTTAAAGACATTTTACGTTGCTCATGAACTTGTAATTTTCTCATTCATAATTGATGCTTTCCTATATTGCCATTTTCCTGAAATTTTAGCCATAAAAAGTATATATAATTATGCTAGAGATGCTGGAATATCGTTAGTATCAGAAGTATGTAACAGTGTTCCTAGGTTTAGAATGTTGTGTGTTCCTATTTTCCCAGGTTTCCACTTCTATTCTTGTGGAACTGGAAACCAGACTTGTTTTGGTTTTGTGTTTTTGGTCATCTGATTATAGTTTACAATTAAGAATCAACTGGTTAAATAAGTGAAGATGGAATTGAATACAGCACCTATCCTTATGCTAACGAGAAAATCTGCAAAGTTTTCTCTTTTAAATACTCTTAACAGAAACAAATATTTAATTAGAATTGTCACTTAATATCTTGCAAGAAAGAAAAATGTGGCCACTTTTTTTTTTTTTTAATTTTCTAACTAGAAAAATCATATAAAGTATTCACCACTTGATTCAGGATAATATGATGCAAGATGCTTAAACAATAAGTCCATGCTGTTTGGGAACTATCCTACTGCATACAAAAGTAAAAATCAGTTACTTGAATGCAGCAAGTGCAAAGTAGTTCTACTTCAGCCTGATTAAGCAGCGCCACCTACTGCACAGAAGATGTATTTTATGTTCGGAAATTCTCTAGTAGAAACAAATCTCTACAGAGCTAAGCACAGAACAAAATCAGTTTTCAGTCTGCTATTGTGTAAAATTTACATCTGGGTTATTTTATTGAAGTTTTTTCTAGTGTTTCCCTATGTCTATTAGTCTACCCATTCAAATTGAGAGCAACAATTACATAAGAAAGTGAGAGAACAGGAGATAAAAAAATGCAAATATGAAAAAAATGGGAATATAGGATATTCATTCTTGATATCTATTGATGTATCTTTTATTATGAAAAAAGTCCAGTGTACCTCCATTTTCCCTTTTACACATGACAATGACATAAGAATCAACAGTTAACCAATGCTTGTTTTAATTGAACCCTTGTTCACATTTTATTCTAGGCTGCCTATAAGTTTGTCCAATATTAAATGATTATGCATTAAAAGGACTCTGTTGCATTCTTCTTTCTCTATGTTTTTTATCCTTATAATAACACTTACATCTACAATATTTTTAAAATAATAATTTCTAACATTCTAATGTATTTTACATTATAGCATCACATAGGCATTTCACAGAGTATTAATAAGAGCATACCTTTTTATTATGTTGGGTCCATTAATTATCTTTTCAACCCTTTGGGTTTATTTCATCTAGTCTATTATACCACAACATAAAATAAATAAGTGACAGTAGACATGGTACGATAGTGATTATGATTCTTTTTATTGTTCTCTGTCACTCTTTCAAGGTCTTAACTGGTTATTTACCACTCACATTACTCACAATGATGCGTGCACTTTTATGATGAGGAGATCATATCATTTCAGTTCCTGCTTTATAATTAATTTCGCAGCATGTGCTCATTCATATCAAATCATATTTGTCATCCATTAATTTATTTATATATTAATGGAATGTCACACAGTCAAGAATTTATGATAGTTAACATTTGCCAGGGCTTTGATCTCCAAATTAACTGAAACAGAACATAAATTGTTTCTCTATCATACCAAAGTCATAGTTATATGATTGAGGCATGTTAGAAATCTAGACATACAAATAGCACAAATGGTCTCAGTTTTGCATCCTCATTTGAAGAACAGCTATTTGAATCCCAAATACTATTGAAAACTTGACTTACTTGTACTTGTCTATATCTTTAAAACTCTGTTATATTTACTGTAACTTTTCTCATTCAATTAAAACTTATTGAATATTTACTATATGGTAGGCACTGTGCTAGGTTCTAGTGATTCAGTGATTAAAAAATGAATTCCTTGCCCTCAGTGAGTTCTCTTTCTTGCAGAGGAAAATGGTGAGTAGTGTGTGAGTAGTCCTGAAACAGTAAGGACAAGAAGCTATAGGCACAAAAGGAAGTCAACTCAACCCAGTTTTCAGGGAACAGGGAAGTGTAGTAAGGGGGAAATGAAGGAAGACTTCCTGGAGAAGAGAAATCCCGAATTGAGTCTGCAGAAGAGAGAAAGCATTTGTCAGGAAGATAAGTAGAAAAAGAGTGTTCTAGGAGAGGAGATAGGATTTGCAAAGACATTGAGATGAGAGAACGGGATAAGTTTAAGGAAATACATGTGGTTCACTTCACCTGAGACTCAAGACAGCAAATAAAGTTCTGAAAGATGAGATTAGACAAATAGGCAAAGTTTAGATAATGGAGAGTCTTTCATGAGTTTGAACTTTATTATGAATGCTTTAGTGGTTTTTTTAATCAAAATATTTTAAGAAGTGAGAAGTGAGTGATAGAATCAGATACAAACTGATTAGAAATATTTCCGGCAACACTGTTAAGAAGGGAATTCAGTAGAGTATGACTGGAGGAAGGGAGATGGGTTAGGGAGTAGTCCAGGAAGTGATCCAAGGGAGAGCAATAAACGACAATGGGCATGGACAAGGAGAAGATGCATATTGATGGACTGTTACAGTAGTAGAAATAATTTAATGATCAAGTTAATGTGAAAAATGCAGAAGAGGAAGGCCAGTAAAACTTCTATTTCTGGTATGAGAGAGGTTTGATGGCACCACTCACTAAGATACAGGCAGTGCACAGATTAGACGTGAGCAGAGAAGAGAGATCTGCTGCAAATATGTTAAATGCATCCACGTGGAAAGGTCCGACGGGTGGCTGCTTATGGACATTTTTTGGGGACAGATTTAAATTAGAGATCTTCAGGTCTAATCTTTGTGAATCCTTAAGAATATGTCTAACTTTATGGAAAAATTAAAAATAAGTTGGAAGTTGGTTCTGCATTATATTCCAAGACCTTCCTTCATTTGTTGCACTGTTCTTACACCCCCTCCCCTCAGAGGACTGGTATGAACAGTTGTATCCCCTCATCCTTACCCTGAAGGACTGCATGGGAGAAGTGGTGAACCGAGCCAAGCAGTCCCTGACGTTTGTGCTCCTTCAGGAACTTGCGTACAGCTTGCCCCAGTGTCTGATGCTGACGCTAAGAAGAGACATCGTCTTCAGTCAAGCAGTAGGTGCCTGTTGTTATTGTTAGTACAAAACAGTGCCAGATTGTTAACATTCTATCTTTGATGATGAATAGAATTCTTATTGGGACAGCTTTATTTTTAGAAAGATCCTTAAAGTTTTGGTACCCCATGTTTCTTATTCACGATAAATATTAGCTGAATGTTCTAAGCAAAGAGTTTATGAGACCTTAAGTATTTATTTCTGAAAAGAGAGGGCCAAGTCTCTAACATATAAATTCTGCTTCACAGGGTATGAAATCCATGAAGGGTGTGGTCATCATCTTTGTATTATGCTCAGGGGTCTACATAAGTGTAAGGGAAGGGACTATTGCCTTGCACTGCAGGTGACACACTAGGACTTGGCAAGGGGGATCCGTTTGCAGTTGCTTATTTGTACAGTTCCCCCATGAATCTTGGGACAGGGTTTCACAATGATCTCTTATTTTGTTTTTAAAATAAGTTTTCAGGGCAGTAAGGCTTGAATGGGAAGTTTGACAGGGCCACCTTCTTTGCCTACACCCAACATGATTCATAATGCCAAGGCCTACCTCCATCATGGTGACGGTGCTGGTGCCTTCCTTCTCCCCACCTGCCTCCATCCCCATGGCTGAGTTTTATAGACACAGCATATGGAGGGGAAGAAAAAGAAGACTTATCTTTCTAAACATTCTAGGAAAAGGGAATGTTTTAACCAAACTGTCCCTTTCCCATGCTAGTTCATGAATGATACAGTGGCACATGGAGCTAACCAGGTGTCGGAAAATATGCTCTGCCTTATACCTACATGTTTTGTCATTGTGTTATTTTAATGACCATGTGAAATGACTATTATCATCTCTATTTTACATGTACAAAAAATAATAAGATTTGGAAGTGCTTAAGTGTTTATGATTTTACTGTTAGAAATGGTAGACAAAAGATTTGAAGACCCATCAACCTCACTGCTGTCCGTGTTCTTTTCCCTTTGCACTTCTACCTTCCCCAAGACTTTTATACACAGCAATTCTAGATCAAAGACTGTCAACTTGTTTTAATATGCCTACCAAATAGTTGTAGTTTTGTTACACATACCTGAGAATCGAATATGTGATGCCTCAGAAGTCTTAAAATATTTCAAAATAAAACAAATACGTTTGCTAACTGCAGTAAATCTTATCAGTATTTTTTTTTTCAGCTTGCTGGATTGGTTTGTGGTTTTATCATCAAATTACAGACAAGTCTGTATGACCCAGGCTTCCTACAGCAGCTTCACACAGTGGGGTTGATAGTACAGTATGAAGGGCTACTAAGTACATACAGTGAGTATTGCTTTAGTACAAGTTAAAAATCACATTTCTATTCATAAGGATATTTAACCCGCAATTTTTTCAGAAAAACATAAAAATAAGAAGTAAACCTTTATTGCACCAAGTATTACAAAAATAATATAGCTTTCAGTTTTTTGTATTCACCTTGTAACTTACTTTTGCCTCCCATTAAGGTTTGAAAATGGAATTATAGATTATTTCAGAGTGGACTCCTGAGCAGCCATCTGGCTTTTTTACTATAAAAGGCTCTGTGCCAACATAGTTTCAATGACTGGATTTTAAAGTCTGAATCCTGTAATGTCTAGAACTGCACTGTTCAATATAGTAGCCTTGCGTGACTATTGGACACTTGAAATGTGTCTGGTCCAAATCAATAAGTACTGGATATGCAGACCAGATTTCAAAAACTAGTTTTAAAAGGTATTTTATATTGACAATACTTTTATATTAATTTACAACTGAAATGGTATTTTGGATATACTGGATTAAGTAAAATCTATTATTAAAATTAATTCTACCTTTTTAATTTCACTCTTTTAAAAAATGACTATCAGGAAATTTAAAATTATATATGTGGCTCACATTATGTTTCTGTTAGAGAGTGCTGATCTGGAATCTTAATGATCTCCCTCTCAGGCTTCATTTGTTAATGTGTGGAGATGCAAAACTAGCATGAACCTGGGTCAGTGATTATCAATTCAGCTACCTCTGTTATTTCTAGACAACGCATATCAGTCCTGCCAGTAGAAAGAAATGTACACATATCATAAAGGGGTTAAAACCTTTCTCCAGCCTCACAGAAAATGTCCACATTCTTCCTTCCCTCAAAGGGTAGATTGACTTCTGGAGTCCATTGAAACGGTTCTCATTTCACTAAGGAAAACCTTCAGCCTCTGAGGAAAAGTATCTAGAGTAGGTTCACTGCATTCAGAAACTCATTCAATAAAATGCTAGAACAAATTCCAGCAGGGAGGCATAGTAGCTAGTGACATTTTCCTCAAATGTTTGTTTGTAACTAAGTGCCTTTTCTCTTGCTTAGGTGATGAAATTGGAATGCTAGAGGACATGGCTGTTGGCATTTCTGATTTAAAGAAAGTCGCATTTAAAATAATTGAAGCCAAATCCAATGATGTATTGCCAGTTATAACAGGAAGACGGTAAGCAGTGCTCACAGTGCTCACTTCCTGAAGACCAGGCTTTGTTAGACGTGTCATATTAACTCCTGTCAGAGGAGGCAAGGAGAATTCAGGTTTGATTTGGGAATTTTTCTTTTGTTTTCTTTTCCTTTTTGGTAAAAAATAAACATGGGTGATATGATATGATACAATCTTGAAAAACTCCTGGAAGTCTCATGAATGTTTTAAATTGTAGTGAGTTGAGTATGGCAGTACTCTCCCACAAAATACAAGAAATTCAAAATAATAGTTTGCATGAGAACATTTTTCTCCTTATTACTATCTCATCCAAAGCTGTGGGTGTTTTTCCTTTTGTGGGAATCGTTCAGTTAATAGAGTCATAATTCTTGATATGACTTTAAATTAAATTCAGTTAAAAGCAGTAACATTTTAGAAAAGATATATTTCTGTGTCAGGGGAATATACCACCATTTCTCTTAATTATTTTTGACAACTCACTCTCAGACTGTGAGATTTCTGAGAAGGGTTTTAAATAAATAGCTTCGAAGGTCAGTGTATGATGGGCAAAATATCAGAAATAATTAAGAAAAATGATGGTGTGTAGAACATACCTCCAAAAGAAGAGGTACATCCTATAGTAACTTGTCTCAATCAGAAGTCCAAACTATTCTGGTGTTAGTGTTTTTAATTGCTGCGTGAGGATATTTAAAATTTGAAACATTCTCAGGTCATGTTCAAAACATATGAATATACAAAAGGGAGAGTCCGTTTCATGCTACAGAGAGATGCAAAACAAACTAAGTATAAAGTTCAAAGTAAACTTGTCTTCTTGTTGATAGTAAACATATAATAATTATTTTAAATTTTGTGAAGGATACCCAGAACCACATAGTTGGCTGAAAGGTGACTTTCTTACTCACAAAAAACCCCACATCCTCAGAAACTAAATATTTACCTGGAATTAATACTTAATTTGACATTCATTTGGGAGAAAGAGAATAAAATTGCTCATACGCACACCTGAAAAGCAATACAATTCTATATTTCTCTCAAGTTTACTGTCAAAAGTGAAACAATAATACTTATATCACAATGTTTAAGGGAAGCTTACCAGGCCATCTGGCGTAGGCAGAGTGCAGCATGCTTTTTCTGAGGAAGTTCTTCAAGCAGTATTGAAACTCAAAAGTGATCATGCGGGTAGGGGCATGACTCCTAGAATGATGAAGTGAGCAGCTTAGCACACCCTCTCTCCAAAAGCAATGTTACAACTGGAAATAATAATCCAAAACAACCATTTTAGGACAAACAGAATAAATCGGATGCACACCACAAATTCAGAAGCACTTGTTTGCAAGAAACCAGTGAACATTGGGTAGCACCAGTAAGAGTCTGAGGCATTTTGTTGAGGACTGCTCCCATCAACCCTGGCCCTGTGAACACAGTTCTCCTAGGGCAAGGCCATTAACACAACAGCTTCACTACCAGAGTGGGCTGATTTGACTTGGATTGGAGTAGGAAATAGCACAGTCCTGAAAGTTGTCAGAAATAGTGGTGGTTTAGATTAACAAATCTAACTCACAATTACATCAAAAAGAATAGGTGTAAATTTAACAAAGTTAGAATGTTGTACACAGAACACACAAAATATTGCTGAGAGAAATTAATAGGATCCAATAAATGGAGAGACAGCCTGTGTTCATGCATTAGAAGACTCAGTATTGTTTAGTAATTCTCCATAATTGATCTATAGGTTCACTGCAATCACTATCTAAATCTCTGTAGTCTTTTTGCAGAAATTGGCAAGCCTAACCTAAAATTTATATGTAAATGCAAAGGACCCAGAAATTTTGTAAAGGAAGAACAATTTTTGTAAAAGAAGAACAAAGTAGAAAAACTTATACTTTCAGACTTCACAAATGACTACAAAACTGTAATAATCAAGACAATGTAGTATTAGCATAAGTATATACATGTAGATTAATTGAACAAAACTTACTCTCCAGAAATGAACTATTATCCTTAAAGTCAATTGATTTTCAGCAAAGCTGCCAAGGTTAATTCAATGGAGAATGGAGAATCTTTTCAAAAAACGATGCTGAGACAATTGGTTTATCTATATGGAAAGAGAAGAATTTACACATATGCAAAAATTAGCTCACTATAGATTATCAGTCTAAATGTAAGAGCTAAAACTGTGAAACTTCTAGAAGAAAACTCAGAAGGAAATATTTGTAAGTTGGGTTTAGGTAATGAGTTCTTAGACATAACACAAGAATCAAGACCCATAAAAGAAGAAAATAGATAAATAGGACTGCATCAAAATTATAAACATTTAAGCATCAAAAAAAAAAAAACACCATTAAGTAAGTAAAAAGACAAGCCACAGATTAGAAGATAGTATTAACAAATCATATATTTGAAAAGGGACTCATATTCAGAATATGTAAATAAATGTTACAACTCAATAATAATGACACCAAAAAACAAATTTAAATATGGGCAAAAAGTTTGAATAGTCATTTCACCAAATAGGATATATGAATGATTTATAAGTGCGAGAAAACATATTCAACATAATTCATCACTAGGAGAATAAATTTAAAATCAAAGATACCAATCCACTTACACTAGAATCATCAGATAAGAGCAAATGTTGGTGAGGATATGGAAAACCTGGAACCCTTGTACATTGCTGGTGGAAATGTCACTTTGAAAACAGTTTGACAGTCTTAAAAAGTTAAATATAAAATTACCACATGAGTCTTAGACATACACCCAAGAGAAAATGAAACATACCTCCACACCACGGCTCATTCCTGCATGTTCATAGCAGCATTATTAATAATACCCCAAATCATGGAGTAATCCAAGTGTCCATCAACTGATAAATGTGTCAACAAAATGTGATATCGATACAATAGAATCCTTTTCACTAATAAAAAGGAGCAAGCTTCTGATACATACCACAACATGGATGACTTCAAAAACATTATACTAGGTGAAAAAGGCCAGATAGAAAATATTCCATGCTGTATGAATCAATTCATAGGATATGTGCAGAAAAATAAAATTCATTCATAGGAAATAGAGAGAAAATAGATGAATAGCTTTCTGGGCTGCTGATGGTAGTAGAGTTGACTGTAAACGGGCACGAGGAATTGTTTTAATGGAAATGAACTAAACCTGGATTATTGTGATGATTGTGTAATTTTATAAATTTGCTAAAATTATTAATTATATACTTAAAATACATTAGTTCATATCAATTTCTTAATAAACCTGGTCAAATTATCACAAAGAAATTATATGTTTCACCTTCAGAGCAAGTTTAAATCATGAACTGACTCATTGATGCTCATATTCCTGAAAGACTGTTAGCCAGGCTATTGTAAATGGCATTGAGAGCAATTAAACAAAGAAAAATAAAGCATTCATTCATCTGAAGGTAATGCTAACATCTATGCTTGCTAAATTCATGATATTTACCAGGTCTCTGTTTCATAGCTAGAAAAAAACAAGTCTCAGAGTCAGTGGTCCATACTGTTTATCAGTAATGTTACACTAGGAGAAATTAAAAAGATTTTCACAAAGAGGCTCACTATTTGCCCTATGCTTATTTCCCCAATGTGTATCTTACAATCCCTCCTCTCTGTATAGTTCTTGAAACACATGGATTTTCTCAACCTCTGGGCAAAACTTTCTAAATTTCTATATTCAATTCACATTGTATCGGAAGATGACAATTTTTAAAATATGTAAGTAGCCACTCTTATTAATCATATTGTATCAATCCTAACTTAAATTTTCAACATTAAAAAGGGGGTAGTTTTTAATGGACATTTCCAATGAAAAATACTCCTGTGATATGTTAATGTTTCAAAATGACCAGAATTCCCAAAAGTTTCACTCTAAGCAATAAAACCATTACCTTTCCATCAGCCCATCATAAACAGAAACACTCATCAATAGTGATAACAAACAGGCCATACCAAAACATTATATAAATTATTTGGTTTATTTAGCTTCACTGTATTGAAACAGCAGTCATTAGATTAGTGTTCTTATTCTTAGGACTGATTAAGTTTTAAAAATAAGAAAACAAAATGAGGCTATCAATGCACATGACCCTGGGTATACAAAAATGGACTAAACGTTTCTTTCCTAAGGAATTCAGAGTGAGGTAGAGAAATCACACATGTAAATGAATTCTTACAAACTTTTTTATGTCAAGTAATTTAATAAGGAGATGAATGAATGAGGAAAATAAGCATATAGCAAACAGAAAACTAAATCAGTGCTATATCCCAAACCTTTTATTGTTTTCTTCCAATAAATCTAAAATAACACAAAACAAGTAAGTAATGTTTCTTCCCTTTGTCCTCTGCCTTCTTTAGAGAACATTACGTGGTAGAGGTCAAGCTTCCAGCCAGAATGTTTGAGTCGCTACCTCTACAGATTAAAGAAGGACAGTTGCTTCATGTGTATCCAGTACTTTTCAACGTTGGAATCAATGAACAGCAGACTCTGGCTGAGAGGTAAGCTTTGGTGTAAGAGTGGCACTTGAGATTTTTCTTTGTTCCTCTTAAGCATATGATGAGAAGTCCCACGTATCTGCATATAGAACTAACATCGATTTATGCATAACATTTTTCTTTTTATCAGTACCAAATTATTTGAGATAGAAGGTAAATTTTCATATTTAAGGAATCCAGGCCTAAGTCAAATTTAAACGTGGCAAAAACATTGAGGAAAATCTTGATGCCAGTACTAAAAAAAGCATTCAAATGGATTAACCTTCTTTATTTCCAAATACCTATGTGTGTATTAAAGTTTAGAATTCATGTTAATATATATCTCAATATTGTAAACAGATAATAGCATCAAATTTTTTAAATCTAAAACAGTCTTTCTCTTTTTTGTGTTTATTGTAATGATTATTATTTGGTAATGTTAACTTTTTTTTTATAACTACTTGCTCAGTCAATAAATGATTGTACTGTGATCCCATGAGTCACTGTTAAAAATCACTTTTTTCGGCTGGATGTGGTGGCTCATGGCTGTAATCCCAGCATGTTGGGAGGCAGAGGCAAGTGGATCACCTGAGGTCAGGAGTTCAAGATCATCCTGGCCAACATGGTGAAATCTTGTCTCTACTAAAAATACAAAAATTAGCTGGGCGTGGTGGCGGGCGCCTGTAATCTCAGCTATTTGCGAGGCTGAAACAGAACAATCACTTGAACTGGGTAGGCGGAGGTTGCGGTGAGCCGAGATTGCACCATTGCACTCTAGCTTGGGTGATACAAGCGAAACTCTGTCTCAAAAAATTAACAAAAAAAGATCATAGAGCATACTTTTGAAATATTTTAGAGAAAGAAGTTATCATCTTTGTTGTGGGGGCTGGCTGGAGAAATTCCTTCACAGGCAACAATTTGGGGAGTTTGATAGTCTTTGGTAGTATAATATTTAACATGCTTGTCTATAATTCACTCTCCAAGTGACCCCTGCCCCACAGGTAAGGTTAAAAGTACCTAGCACATTCCTTGCTTTGGTAATTAAGCACTTTTGAAGGCTAGTGTCTAGGATCAGGTTATATTCTATTTATCTATACATATTTGTCTTAGCAAATTCAGTGTTTGAGATGAATGATATTCCGGATCATAAACTATACAACTTGGAGCAGGGAAACAGCACTCCAAATTGCCTCTTCTTTGGTACACTAGAGTAGAGTGTTTTGAGTTGGAATTAACAAGGTCTGTTATTGCGATCTTGAGAGAGATATGAGACTCTTTTATTCACAGACTTTTCAAAGACTAGTCAGCATTATATTTTCAAGGCTTCTAAAATGGACTAATTTGCATCATTCTCGTCATTGTGACTGTTTTACTTGTCAGTCATTTTATTTAAGAAGTGTCCTTTCCTTCCCTCTCATCTCTCTTTCATACTAAGAATGCACTTTTTTCACACACGGAAGCCATACAAGACACACAAGACTGGAAAAGAAGGCAAAATGGCAAAGTAGGGAAACCCTGCGAGAAGCAGGAGGCCTGAATATGAATAGTACTCTGACATCAACCAACTGTTAATCTGGGCATATTGCTTACTCTCTGTTCTCTGAACCTCCTTTTTCTGATTCTGAATTTTGAGCTTTACCAGCAACATCTACATGTTAGATGTGCTATGTAATCTAGAAGTAATATTTTACCACTGTTTACTCAAAATCAAAATGTAGATCTTGTATATGACCATTCTTAGATAAATAAATACTATTAGTCTGCTAGGGTTGCTGTAACAAAATACCATAGACTGGGTGGCTTAAACAACAGAAATTTGTTTCTCATAGTTCAGGAAGCTAGGAAGTCCAAGGTCAAGGTTCCAGCCAATTTGGTTTCTGATGAAGGCTCTTCTTCTGGCTATCAAATGACTGACCACATTCTCCCCGTGTGCTCACACAACCTCTTCTTTGTGCCTGTGGACAGAGAGAGCCCACCCTCGTAATCTCATTTAACTTGACCCCTTAGGGGCCGTATCTCTAAATACTGCCATTTTGGGAGATAGGGTTTCCACATACGAATTTTAGGACAACACAAGCATTTACTCCATAACACTAATATTAAGCAAGTATGGTATTTTTAAAATACCATATACTCTGCCAAGCTGTGGGATATAAGGGGAATAGAGGGTAACAAGAAGCATGAAATCTGCTTCCTATCCTGAAATAATGTATAATCCTGTGAGGAAGAGAAGTCAACAAACATTACATTACAGTTTGAAGAAGACTATGTGGACAGAACCATTTGACTTCTCAGTATGAACAGAAAAAAATGTCAGCAGAAATGACCCACTGTCTGGGAAATCTGGCTCTATGTGTACCTATAGCAGTTGATAGTGTGGGCAAGACTGCGTGCAGCCCAGTGTCCAGTGCTGATCTTCTGGACCCCTCCCTAAGCAGCCATGAGTGAAATGGAAGGTTGGATAGATAAGAAGAAAGAAGGTTTTTTTTAAAACACATACAGAGATGCAGCCCTGCAGCGGAGGTGTGGAGTAGGATGGAGAAACTAATATTATCAATCATGTCCATGCACAGAGACTGGTGTTTCATACATGGTATTTCCTCCAAATTCACATTTGATGGTTGTGAGGATATTTGATGCATTAGAAGTGATTAGTAATATCAGGGCCAGTGGAGATTGGAATATGTTTGAAATCACCATTGTGCATTGTAGCCTGAAAAATGAGACAGACTCTTTCCTTAGGAAATTATTCCAATCTATTCAAAAAGGAAAGGTAAAATGTGTTACTTTTTGGTGCCATTTTATAACTTATAACTGTTTTCTTTCTTCTATTTGTAGGTTTGGGGATGTCTCTTTGCAAGAAAGTATTAATCAGGAAAACTTTGAACTTCTACAAGAATATTACAAGATATTTATGGAAAAGATGCCTCCTGATTGTAAGTATGTGAGTTAGAGAAGACAACAATAATGGCTTCTTGATTATAAATCTTTGGAAGAGGTCAGACATAGAGGTCACTGGACTAAAGAAGCAGGGGTGGAGATATGAGAGTGATTTTGAAATTGTCTGATTTCAAAGACTGATTGCCAAGGTGGCATGACCAACACCTGCATCATTCTCTTGATTGCCTTCTTGAATGTGTCCTGCTGTTCATTCTGAGACATTAATTTCATTGCCACTAGAAAATGCCAAATAATAAAAATATGGACCTTATAATTACACATTTTAATTAGTCTGATAAAAATTTTGTATAATTCTTAACCATATAAAAGACTTGACTAAAGATTTAAGTCTCCATTTACAAGCAACATCAGACATTGGACACGCATGCAGAAGAATATCAGATATAACACCAGTTATACAAGGTAATATTAAGTCAATGTGAATGAGGAAACTAACTTATTAAATATATGTATTGCAGTATTTTGTGCAAAAAAGTTAAGGACCCAAGCCTTTAAAAATGTGTTTTACACGTTTGGAATTTGTCTTGGAGGGGGCCGTTGTTCAAGTCTACATTTATTTTATTTTATTTTATTTTATTTTATTTTTAATTTATTTATTATTATTATACTTTAAGTTGTAGGGTACATGTGCACAACGTGCAGGTTTGTTACATATGTATACTTGTGCCATGTTGGTGTGCTGCACCCATCAACTCGTCAAGTCTACATTTCTTTTCCCCATTGTATTAAGCACAAAACATTTGAGCAGTCCAAAATCAGAGAGCTGGGAATGTATTTGGAATTCATCTATAAATAGTATAAATATGTTGAGATATTCACATTGATAAGTGAAGTTTTAATAAAATAGGAAAATTATATTTTAACCAAAAGCTATAATCAAAGTCTACTTGTTACTACTTGTTTAATCATGAACAATTTGCTCACTGATTTATATTCTGTTGTTTAGTTGAAATATGTCAGGTGGCAGAGCGTTTATGTCTTCATAACCTAATGAATGTGGTATCAAAATATTACAGTGGCATATGCATGCCCATGTGTGGATAGTTAAAAAATGTCACTTGCAGATTTTATATTATGATTTATATATTTTATTTCAAATCAAATATTATTTTTGGCCAAAATGAACTTAAGTACATGGAGATTCTTTGGCAGCCACATACTTTCAGTATTAAATTTTTTAATGACCTGAAAAGTTAATAATGTAAGTAAAACTATTTTTCTTTAGTAATTAATGAAAAAGAGTTTATTGTAACTTGGATGTTAATGATTTTTTTAACAAATTATAATTTTTATCAAGCTACTGATAAAAATTCTGAGACTTTTTTCCAAATTATATTTTTTGTATTAATTCTTGAAAAGTATATGTGGTCCCCAGGTCAGCAGCATCAGCATCACCAGGAAACCTGTTAGCAATTCAAATCCTCAGGCCCTGCTGTGAATCTACTAAACTCTCCCTAAGTCTCTGTTTTAATAGGACTTTGAGGTGACTTCTGATTCATGCTAATGTTTGAGAACTAATAATACGCCATCCTTACTCAAAACATATATTACAAATTAGGTTGCTGGCAAAGTCTGTGAAGGGTTTCAGTACTAAAACCAATCATATTGCTAAAGAAATATGTAGAGGCACTGTTGAAATACAAAATAATTCTACATTCAAGTAGCTCTTCATAGGAATATAACTTTGAAAAATTGTAGCCCGGGCAACATGGTGAAACTCCATCTCTACAAAAAATACAAAAATTAGCCAGGCATGATGGTGTGCGCCTGTGATCCCAGCTACTCAGGAAGCTGAGGGTTGGGAGGATCGCTTGAGCCCGGGAGACAGAAGCTGCAGTGAGCCAAGATTGTGCCACTGCACTCCAGCCTGGGTGATATAGTGAGACTCTGTCTCAAAATAACAACAACAACAACAACATGTGAGTCTATATGTTGCCAATTAAATATTAAACAAGTGTTTTTGAAAACATGTAAATATATTTCTCTCCTTGCAAATAAGATGGAATTTTGTATAAAACCAATTGCATTTCATTGCTTACACAGTTGTCTGAACATACTGGATTTTTTTCTGATATTTTGTTTCCTGTATTTTTGAGACAACTCTCTTTGACACAGAATGGAGTTGTAGTATGACTGTGGTTGTGCTCCATAACAAAAGTACAAATCCAATCTATACAATTATAATGACATATGGGTTTATTCCTCCTATAGACACATTGCAAGCCAAAGAATGATTTGAGTTGTGCTCTATTTAAGGGAAAAAAAAAAAAAAAAAAACATACAGCTTTTATAAGAGTGTGAGTAGAGGTTAGGCCATTTGCTAAGAAGGAAAAAACTGTCATGCTGGGTCATATCCATAATCCATATAATCTATTATTTTCCTTCTTTCATAGCAAAATCAAGGGATAATTTGTGTCAATGTTAAAGGATAGGTTAATTTCTTAAACATATTACTGGCCAGGCGTGGTGGCTCACGCCTGTAATCCCAGCACTTTGGGAGGCCAAGATGGGCGGATCACGAGGTCAGGAGATCGAGACCATCCTGACTAACACAGTCAAACCCCATCTCTACTAAAAATACAAAAATTAGCCGGGCGCGGTGGTGGGCGCCTGTAGTCCCAGCTACTTGGGAGGCCGAGGCAGGAGAATGGTGTAAACCCGGGAGGCGGAGCTTGCAGTGAGTAGAGATTGCGCCACTGCACTCTAGCCTGGGCGACAGAGCAAGATCCCATCTCAAAAAAAAAAAAAAAAAAAAAAAAAAAAACCATATTACTTTCACTTTTTAATTCATTATTGATGTACTGACTCTTAATTTATTGATCCTCTTTTTAAATGATTTATGAATTAAGCAGGTGAATTCTATTTTGGAAGTAAAAAAAGGTTTCTTCTTCAAAGGTTTTCTTAACTTTAAGGGATATCCCGGACTTTTGTGATATCAGGACTTAATGATAAATTAATTTTAGCTTATATATTCACTCCAAGTCAAGTAGCTCTCATCTTTTTACTCTTCTCATATAGAAACATTTGTGGACTAAATATTCTTTCCAAAATGTCTTCTAATTCTGTTATATATGTAGCAATTTTAATTTATAGTCTCAATTCAGCAATCTACAAACATGGAATAGTTTTATTTCAGTAACTACTACCAGTTTTATGAAGCACTCATCAACCTTTAGAAGTTAGTAATTGGGAATAGGAAATGGATAATTAAAGTTACCGATCAACATGCCCTTTCAATATGTTTAGCATAGTCTAGTGCTTTTAGACTACTTAAAATCTCAGTTTCATTTGGAAGACATATTCAGCCAAGTTCAGATATTATTATCCTCCACCCCCATCTTCCTTGCAACTGTAGAAAGGCCATTAGTGGAAGTCTTGGTAGGGCTGGGTGGCCTCTGTGTCTTTCTTTCTTTTGGGGAATTCATGGGATCTAGATCTGGGATGTGCCTGTTACAGAGAAAGAGGCCACATATAGGAATCCCAGAAGTTCCTTTCCTGTAAATCTTTGCTGAATCTTCATCCACAGAAAATAATATATTGTTGGTCCTCAGTATCCGTGTGATCTGTGTCCACAGATTCAATCAACCCCAGATCAAAAATATTTGAAAAAAAATTGTGCAATGACAAAAATATTAAAAATTTTAAAACATAGTCTAAGAGCTATTTACACAGAATTTATATTGTATGAAGTATTATAATTAATCTAGAGATAATTTAAAGTATAGGGGATGATGTGCTTAGGTTATTTGCAAACACTATGCCATTTTATATAAGAAAATTGAGCATCTGTGATTTTGGTATCTTCTGGGGTTTTGGATCCAATCCTCCTTGGGTACCAAGGGACAACTTATATATCTGTCAGATAGACAAAGCTGTTGATGACTGCTCTATCTGGGCACATGTATTGTGTTTCTCCCACCAAATCTCCTCTGTATGTGATGCAGCTCTCAGACAGTTGTTCTGCTGACTCTAAGGCACGAGAAATCTTCAGAAGTTACTTCCCCTCAGGTCCTACCTGTGATATTCACTGGCCCCTTTGATCAGCCTGGGAATTCCAGTGTGGCAGTTATTAGTGCTTCTCCTTTTTCTCTCTCTAATCTTCCTGTTGGGCTTGATGATCTCAGACATCCTTCACGTTCCCTTTTGTGCATACCTAAAGCATTCAGACACTTACATTTTGTGCTAGAAATAAAATAAAATAGTACTTCTGTAAATCACTAACACAAACTGCTCCATGTTTAAAGTCACCACCGCATCTCATACATGATTCACGGCTTCTGAAGGAAGCAGATAAAGCCCCTTCTGTCTTCCTCTTCCCTTTAAGGGAGGAAGAACCAACTATCAAAATATTACAGCTAAATTCTGTGTCCTTTCTCTAATAATAATGCCCATATCCTTTGTGTTTTATCTGAAACAAGGAAGAAGGATATTGTCATATGGCTCTAAAATTGTACCATGATTCCTATGCTAGCACTATAAGGTTGAGCTTACTAGCACTGTGAGCTAAGAAAGAAAACAGGGCTTTTTTTTTTTTTTTTTTTTTTAACCTTTTCTATACTTTTTATACAATGTTTGACAATCCAGTGTTTTGTATATAGTGTTTCATCAACTACATCAATAAGAATTATATACAAAATATTTTTTAGAAAAAGAAATTTAGGGTCGGGCGCGGTGGCTCAAGCCTGTAATCCCAACACTTTGGGAGGCCGAGACGGGCGAATCACGAGGTCAGGAGATCAAGACCATCCTGGCTAACACGGTGAAACCCCGTCTCTACTAAAATATACAAAAAAAAAACTAGCCGGGCGAGGTGGCGGGCGCCTGTAGTCCCAGCTACTCGGGAGGCTGAGGCAGGAGAATGGTGTAAACCCGGGAGGCGGAGCTTGCAGTGAGCTGAGATCCGGCCACTGCACTCCAGCCTAGGGGACAGAGCGACACTCCGTCTCAAAAAAAAACAAAAAAAACAAAAAAAAGA